TTTTTTTTTTTTAAATCACAGTTCTAACTGGGGGCGACATCGAGTTCGAACAGGGGCGGACAGGTCTGCAGACTGTCACGGCACTGGAGCGCGCCTTGCATGGTTAGGGGAAAAGGAAAAGACAAAAAGGGAAAGAAGAAAACATTGGTTCCGCTCTGGCGCGCAGAAATAACCGGGCGCAGGCGGAGGTAGACTCGTGGTGGTCCGTCTGTCTGCGCCTTGCCTCCATTGACGCTCCACTTGGGGCGTACTCGCACTAGGAATTTTTCATTGGAATCTGGACCGCATTGGGGTCAGGTGCATGCATTCGTGGCCCCGAATGCGGTCATAGACGTCCTGAAAAGTCCTCGTCCTCGTGTGAGTATGGCCTTGGCCATGCTCTCTGCCGTCTTCGTCCAATCGGAGCAGGGGACTAAGGTTGCGCGCATACTTGCACGAGGACTTTCCTGGATTTACTTTTCTGTATATACGTGTATGCATGTATAATACCGTTAAAACGACCATATTCGGTCCCAGAATCCTACGTGAGCATGCTCGAATGGCCACGTGGCACCCTTCGGCAGACTGGTCTGGTATCCAGGGACCGAGGGACTGAGGATGACGCGGGTCATCCTAAGCGGACTGGTCTGTCTGGAGTAGGGCACCGGGGCTGGGGTAGCCTTGGAGCGGCCCGGGTGCGTGGGTGGGGTTTCTCTTTTTTCTCTTCCTCTCAAAGGGGGGGTGGGTTTACGTATAGATGACTATACTTCGGAGTATCTATCCCCCCCTTCCTCCCCCCCCCCCCTCTCGCTCTCTATCTATCTCTCTGTCTGCTGCCTCTCTCTCTCCCTCTCTCTGAGGGGAAGTGCGAGGGGCCGCAGAGGTGACTAAGGGGTAGGCCTCAGTGGTGCTACTAACCATGTATGTTGATCCTAACAAAGCATGAATTTGGCCGTCGTTATGACCATGTTCGGGCTTTTCAAGCGCAAACATAGCACCGGTGGGGCCTGATCCTTCTTGACTGTTCCGGCGACGGCAACGAACAGCGGGTCGGGCAAAGCGTACCAACGCTTAGCCGGCCGCTTGTGCAGGCCGGGGTCCTGCGCTTGGGGACTTGGAGCGAGCCGGCGAACGAGAGAGAGAGAGAGAGAGAGAGAGAGAGAGAGAGAGAGAGAGAGAGAGAGATTCGCTACCTGGAACCGCGTCCGGGGAGGAGAGAGGGAGGGAGGAGGGGGGGGGGGGGGGGGGGGGGGGGGGGCGGAAGGGATCCTGTGCAAGATTGGCAGGAAAGTGACGCTACCAGGCGTTGGAATGCTGCTGCGTCTGCGCAGCTGGCCTAGGGAAGAGCTAGTCGCTTGGCGCCATACCCTCTCCCTTGGATGTGATGCGCAGGCGCGGGGGTGGTGGGGGGTTAGGGAAGTGGAGGTAGTGGTGGTGGTGTTGACGTTGGCTGGTGTGCCGCGGGGGGAGAGCGGGAGGGAGGAGGAGGAGGAGGAGGAGGAGGAGGAGTGCGCGAGCAAGTGGATTGAGTGGCCGTTGCGGGGTTGGGAGGGGGGGGTAGGAGGAGGAGTTTGGGGAATGGGAGGTGCCATTCTGCTGGAGTAGGAGTTTGCTGGCAAAGTGTGAGATTGGCTGCTGTGTCTGTATTTGGAAAGTTTTGCGCTGAGTTGGCCCCGTTTGACTCTGTTTGGGAGGGAGGACGAAGGGAGGGGTTGGGGGAGGGCGGAGAGAGAGAGAGAGGGGTAGGGAGGTGGTATTGTGTGTGGTATGATCTGATGTGACGATGGAGAATCCTCGGCCTGCTGCGGCTATGGCGGCTGCGGCAATTGTTGTGTCATGTTCTCCTTTCCATGTTTTGACCAGGGTGTGTTAGGGGAGGTGGTTGTGATGGTAGGCAAAGGGAGAGATGGACCTTTTCCACGTGGCAGCAGCAGACGGCGATGCCAGGACTTTGGTGGGAGCAGGCTTTGCCAGAGGCTTGAGAGATGACGAGCTGGAAGAAGGCGAAGCTGTTGTGGACAGCGATCCTCGTGCTGGTGCTGGAGGCGACGATGGCGGCTATGGCGTCGTCGAAGCGACCTTGGTGTGACATCCACCTTTTCTTATCTTCGTATATGATACTCCTCTACTCACGCTCTTCACCGATGCATACTAGTATTTTTGACCCCCTGTTCCTCTTCCTCTTCCTCCTCTTCTTCGTCTTCCTCTTCGCGTCAGACTCCTCTTCCTCCTCTTCCTCTTCCTCCCCACTCGCTCCCCCACCCCCACTCCTCTTCCTCCTCTTCCTCTTCTTCGTTTTCCTCCATTTCTTCGGATTCCTCCTCGTTTCCTACTCCTCTCTCTCCCATTTCTCTCTCTCTCTCTCTCTCCCCACTTGTTCATCCACCTAAATTGCCTCCCTGCTTTTTTCCTTCCGTTCTGTCCTCTCCGTCCCTTGCGGTTTCCTCTGTATCCCATCCTTTCTGTCCTATTCTATTGCCTATTTTATTGCCTATTCTGCTGTGCTATTCTATTGCCTATTCTATTGCCTATGCTATGGTTCATCCACCGATGCATGCTTGTGTGCTGTGCTATTCTATTGCCTATTCTATTGCCTATGCTATGGCTTGTCTTCTCTGTCCTATTACATCCTCTCTCAGACTTGGAGGATCTCTTATTTCATTGATTTGAGTCATTTCCTTTCACACGAGGAAGATCTATTAGGACTCTGTTTGTGTGAGAGAGATGACGGCAATGGCTATGGCTGATAAAGGGAGAGGTCGGTGGGACATCCATTCTCATTTCCTCACCGCAGTACAGGTTTTGCCAGTAGTTTTTCTTTCCGCCTCCTTCTCCTCTGTCCCTTTCTTCCCCATCTTTCCCCCATCTTTCCCTTTCTGGTGCCCTCTCCTTCGCCCTCCTCCGTGCTCCTCTTCTCGACTTCCACCTCCTCTCTTCTGCTCATTGGTCATTCCCAGCTCGCCTACTCTCTTTTCTCTCCCTCATCATCTCCAAGTACTTCACCGACTTGAGCCCGCCGTCTCTCTTCCCCTAGTAAAAAATCAGTTGTTGCGCCTTTCTCCTAGTTGTCACAGTCGTCTTGCTTGCCGGTCTCCCCTCCTCCCCTCCTCCCCTCCCTTGACTCCTCCTGCAACCCCTCTCTCTCCTCATCTGCCTCCCTCTCCCTCCTCCTCTCCTCTCTCTCGTATGCTCTTCACAATCTTGTTGCGTACGCTTCTCTTATTAGTCCTGTGCAATATGGTAGCTCTTTTATCCCGCCTCTCTCTCCTCTACCTGTCGCTTGCTGTCCTGTCTTACTCACTCTCGCTCTCGCTCTGTTTCCGTCGTCCTCATTCTCCACATCTGTGTTCTTTTCGTGTTTTGCCCCTCGTCGGATCTCTCTGTGTCCCTTCCTGTCCACTCCTCCTTTGGTGCTCTCTCTTGACAGTCGTCTCGTGTTGCAACGTGTTTTCTACTCTCTCCCTCTCTCTCTCTCTCTCTCTCTCTCTGTGTTTGCTTTCGCATCTGCTTGACCATTGCTCTCTCTCTCTCTCTCTTTCCCTTTCCCTTTCCCTTTCTCTCTCTCTCTCTCTCTCTCTCTCTCTCTCTCTCTCTCTCTCCCCCTCTGCCCCCTTTCTCCTGCTCTTTTTGTTACTTGTGCTCCTGTTATTATTCTTGGTTCACATGGAATGGAATGGAAAGGCGAAAAGGGAAACAGCTTGGTCTTTGAAGCAGGCTTCTATGTGTGTGGGTGCGCCGAGGGACACAGCTTGGTCTTTGACACGCCTGCACATGCCTCTTCTCTCTTCTCTTTCTCTTCTCCATGGTATGATGAGGAAATGAATGTCTGTGTGTGCCTTTGAGTCGCACTGTACTCTCTCCTCTCTTCTGCACGGTAGGAGATAATACTAAGAAAACCTCCGCGTGGCTCTTTGCGCCGACTCCTCTCTCTCTCTCTCTCTCTCTCYCTCTCTCTCCCTCTCCCTCTCTATTCCTTCTCTCCTTTTTCTGCACTGGGGAAGAGGACACATTTCTCTGCACTGGGAAAGGGAACAAATCTCACGGCGCACTCCTTCATTGTTGTTCGCTTCTGCGCGCGCTCCCACGTAATTGTTGCTTGAAAACCTTCTCCCGCCAAATTTCTGCCACTGCGCGTTCCCGCCAAATTTCTGCCCCTCCCTCCCGCCGCCTAAACCTCCCCGCGCGCGCTCACTCTTTCCCTTGGCCGACGAATGAATGTTCATTTCGCGCGCGTTCTCCCCTGCTGCGTTGTTTTCTGGTCTTTGTCACTCTGGTGACCAACTTTCTCCGAATTCTCTCCTGAATTCTCTCCTGAATTCTCTCCTGAATTCTCTCCTGAATTCTCTCCCCTCGATTTCCTCCACCTGCCTTTGTGTCTGACGCTCGCGCGGGAGGGATGTCCTTAGCAACGCTTTTATCTCATACGGCCTTGAAAGTGTGACCCAGTGTTTTAACTTTACGTTATTTGCGATTCATCAGTGGAATTAGTGCTTTGTTCATGCTCGAAAGGCATGAACCTGGTCATAATCACGCGCAAATTCATAGCATTCAGTGTAATTATGTGCGATTACACACTAGTAATTGATGATACTGTTCAACAGTATTGTTGCCACCGCTCCAGTCGGTGGAAGCCAGTGGTGCTATGTTCATGCTCGAAAGGCATGAACCTGGTCATAATCACGCGCAAATTCATGCTTTGGTAGCGTCTACATATGTACATAGTAGGTAGCCCAGAAATTAGAATCTCTCTGCTCTGGCACATCTGGCTGGCTGTTCATGACCACGGATCTGCGCATCCCCTCTCGGTACTCCTTGTTTGTTATCCTCTTCTTTCTACGCTCTCTCTCTCTCTCTCTCTCTCTCTCTCTGTCTTGCTCCCTTCTCCTCCTTACGCTTGTGTCACTAGCGCTTCCGCTCTTCTTCGTGTTCTAATGGTCTGCCGTGCGAAATGTGATTGGCTTTCGCGCCCTGCCCCTTTATCACGCGGCTCACTTCTCTCTCTCTCTCTCTCTCTCTCTCTCTCTCTCTCTCTCTCTCTCTCTCTCTCTCTCTCTCTCGTTCTTTCCAGTCGCCGACGGCGCTCCCATCTTCCCCACCTTCACGCGCAATCCTTTTTGTCATCCAGTTGCGTATCCTTGTCCCTCCGTCTGTCTGTCTGTCTCTCTGTCTGTCTGTGTGTCTGTCTCTCTCCCTGGCTCTCTGTCTGTCTCTCTGTCTGTCTCTCTGTCTGTCTCTCTGTCTGTCTCTCTGTCTGTCTGTGTGTCCGTCTTTGTGTCTCTGTCTACATCTATGTCCCTCCCCCTCTTTCCTCTTATCCTCCACCTCCTCTGTTTAGCACTCCGTTCGTCTCGTTCTATCGATTATTATTCATCTGTTGCCTTTCCCCCCCCCCTTTCTTTCCGTTGATTGGTTGGCTTTGGCTTTCCTTTCTTTCTATCTCGCGTCTGCTTTCTCGCTTACCTTCGTCTTCTTCGGTCCACTTTGGGCCGCGCTTCATCAGCCACCGTACGCACAAAAAGACAAAAAATTATGGCGGTGCACCGTGTATCTCTCCGTGTTCTAGCTCATGATTCATTCTCATGTTGCACATGTGGTGAGTGGTGGAGCGAGACCCTTTCTCTCTCATTGTATGCCCTCCATTTTGCACCACACACTTCTCTCGTACCCTTCTTCTCCTCATCTCCTACTCCCCTTCTCATCTCTCTCTCTCTCTCTCTCTCTCTCTCTCTCTCTCTCTCTCTCTCTTCCCATAACGTCTCTTCTCCCCCGTCCCATTTATTGCGTTCTCGGCGGGAACGCTAATCAGGAAAAAATGGAAATCTCTTTCCGCTAGCATTCTCCATCGAGTCCGTTGCTCTCTCTCTCTCTCTCTCTCTCTCTCTCTCTTTGATCCCCCCCTTACTCTTACCCCCTTCCCCTCCCCCCCTCGGCGGCTCCCCTGCCTCCTTCCCCTCTTCCTTCATCTCCCTCCCTATTTACTGTCTTAAGAAAATTGTTCAGTTTCCATTCCCAAAATATTTCGTCTCCTTTCCACTGTCAGCTATGGAGTGTTCCACGTGGCAGCTCCTCAGTGTACTGTTTCTTCTCTCTTCAGTGGTGTTCTCACTAGCTTTGGAAAGCTCCTTAGGTGTCATCTCATCGTCTTCGTCTTTCTCGGTTCAGTAATGTCTATCTCCCTCTCTCGTTGGCTTCCTTCTCCTGTTTGATTGCTCTGCCTTCCATTTCCCATGTCTGTCTTTTCCTCTCGTCCCCTCTCCTTGTACTTCTCTCTCTCTCTCTCTCTCTGTCTCTCTCTTTTTCTTTGTTCGTCGGCTTGCCGTGCCGTCTGGTGCCCTCTCCGCCTCCTTCATCGTTCTATTGTCACCCTTTGGTCCATTCCTTCTCCCTTTTTGCATCACCCACTGTTTAGCCTTCTCTCTCTCCCTCTCTCTCCCTCTCTTTTTCTGTCTATCTTCCCTCCCGCGCGCGCGCGTGCACTTTCTCTCTTTTCCCGCCTCTGCCTTCTCTTACCACCACTTCTTTTTTTTTAATTCTTTCCCGTCGTCCTTCTCAGGTTTATGTTCCCCCTCGCGTAATATGTCCCATGACTACCTCGCTTTTCCCTTCACCCCTCCGTCTCCGGCTTGCGGGCCCCTCTCGCTCTCTCTCTCACCCTCCTCTGCCCCTCTCTCTGTCAGCTCTTCTTCCCCTTGTTTCGTTGCTTCTCTTCTCTGCTTCGTTATTGCTTCGATCCATTATCGTTCCCCTCGCCCCGCGTAGGGTGTTCTCTCACTACGTCGGTTTTCCGTTCAACGAAGCAGAACAGAACCTCTGCCCCTCTCCTTGTTCCCCTTGTTTCGTTGCTTCTCTTCTGTGCTTCGTTGTTTGCCAAAGAAAAAAGATAGCATCATGACCGCTCTCCGCGCTCAGTGGGACGGCTTCGTCGTTTGCCTTGGCCCCCTTCGTTGGGAACGTATCCATTTTCATTTCCGTCTGTCATCATAGGTCTCGTTCTCCTTTCGATTCTCTCCTCTTATGTGTGATTGTCGTTTATTTTTTGTTGTCCTATCCCAATTCTTTGCTCCCTTTCTCGTCCCTCTCTCG